GTTCTTTACTTTGTGCAGGAAAAATTTTACAAGGTGAGTCCAGATGACTGTGGGGAACATTTATTAAAACTGGGGACAGTAAGACAAGAAAGGGCTTAGTATAGGAGAAGCAACAGGAGAGCCTAGGCCGGGCTGCCCTAGCTCTCTGGGAAGTCAGAGAAAAGGGGGGCCTTGGGAACAGGTTCCAGGATCTATCTAGCCTGCAATAAGCTGCCTCTGCCCGTTGATCCCTAGGTTGCAAATCTCATAGAAGATGCATGTCCTTGGGGGAGGAAGAAGGGAGAGGGAATTGGGAGATGCTCCCCCAAGGGAAAGCACACACTGGCTCCTTTGTCTTGAGGCTTTCTTTCTTTCTCATTGGTGGGAATCTTAGGAGAGGTTTCAGGGGAGGGTTTCAAGGGAATATTCATGTTTTCTAGGCATGCTCCTTCAGAGAGGCGATCTCCACTAGTTGTCAGTGTCAGGACAGGGGGTTGTCAGTCATCACAACTGGTTTTGCTGCTCTTCTTGACCTGAAATACAACTGAGGCCTAGATATTATTTCTAGCGAGGTGACTTGTATCTGCTGTAAATTGCTCTGTCAGTTTGTTCAGCTTTGTCTGTTTCTCTATTCCATTTGTCCTGGCTTATTGGCCTGTCTTAAAATGACAGTTAATGTGATAATATGGCATTGTTACAGGCAGTCCAGATCCCAGAAAACTATTGTCGGACAGCAGGACAGCACCAATTCATAGGGAGACAGCTTATCTCTACCTCGATTCTAGTACCAATGAATTTAAATGAGATCCTGATTGAATTGTGATAAACCCAATTTACTGAAGCAATTTAAGCAAATTCACTAAGGAGGCATGGCAAGCAAATCTGTCACATGCATGGCTTCTCAGATAATCTGAAGAGTGAGTTAGTTTGGTGGGGGTTTGAGGCTTTCTGAATATACCCTCCTGTTTATATGTTTCAGATTTCTCTGTTGAATATCTTGGTATAGATTAATTCTCGTGATCTTTTTTTTTTTTTTTTACTTTGTTGTGGCCTTCCCAGAATTCATGAGAAGTACCTGGCAATTTTATCTTACCACGTCTTGAGACTGCTGGCTTCTCTGTTAGGGAGTTAAAGAGACAAAAAAAACTGCCCTTTTTTTCTTTCCCCTTCCCCTGTCCTTTCTTGCATTCTCTTCTTAAGGAGGCTTTTAACCATTTTCTCTCAAGTGTCCTTGGCTGGGGAAGATAAAAGGCTGTACTTTTATAAGTTGGCTGCAAAATGCCATACTGTTTGGCCTTGTTAAACTTACTGTCTGTTTCCCAATTCCACTTGCCATGGAATTTTCCTAGCTTTTCACTGTCCTGTAACAGTATTGTTTTGAATGTTTTAAAGATTTATATAGTCTTGTACAAAATAGTAACAAATTGAATCCAGCAGCATATTGAAAGGATTTTATATACATGAACAAGTGGGATTTACCAGCAAAGCAAGGTTAGTTCATCATCTATAAATAACCCGGCTGGTGTTGTTCAGTGGTTGAGCATCGACCTATGAGCCAGGAGCTCACAGTTTGATTCCCAGTCAGGACACATGCCTGGGTTGAGGGCTTGATCCCCAGTGGGGAGTTTGTGGGAGGCAGCCTATCAGTGATTCTCTATCATCACTGATGTTTCTATTTCTCCCTCACTCTTCTCTCTGAAATCAATAAAAATATATTGAAAAAATAAATAAAAATTTAAAAATCAATTTAACATGCTATGTTAATAGGATAAAGGAGAATAGAGGCCATCTGTAATATTGTCAACAATAAAAAATAAATTAAAAAATAAAGGACAAAAACCACATGATCATCTCAATAAATGCTGGGGAAAACATTGACAAAATCCAACCTTTCTTGTTAAAAAAAATACTTTTGATAGAGAAAAGAAGAAAACGTCCTCAAGCTGATAAAGAACATCTATGGAAAACACAGCTAGCTAACTGCATAGTGGATAGTGAAAGACTAAAAGCTTTCCCTCTAAGATCAGGAACAAGACAGTGTGTTCTCACAGCTTTTATTTAACATTGTACTGCATGTTTTTGCCAGGGAAATCAGGCAAGGCAATGAAATAAAAGGCATCCATATTGGAATAGAAGTAGTAATACTATCTCTTATTTGAAGCTGACCTGATCATCCTATAGACAATCCTAAGGAATCCACAGGAACCTATTAGAGCTAATAAATGAGTTCACCAAGGTTGCAGGATATGTAACCAGACAACCAATGGAATGGGTCTAGGCTGCCTATCACTACTTGAGCCAAATTAGCAGAGACAGGATTGAATCATCTATGAGTGTTTATTCCAATAATGCCGGCAGTATGAAAGAGCAGCAACTCATGCATGAAAATCTGCTCTACCCCTCCCCATAAGCCTACTGCTTATATTGGTAGAAAGACAAAGATTACATGGGAAAGTAAGAATTACAGGCATGGGAAAGTAGACAAGGTATAATGATTATAGAGTACAATGCTTACTGGGGGGAGGTGGGTCACAGTGGGTGGATGCCTCCGGGCGCCTCCAGGATCAGATTACAGGATATAGGAGCTGGGGGCTTGAAGGGTGGGAAAGGAAAGGGGGGACTTTAGGACTAGATTGTTTCAGCTCCTAGGTTGTAAATCGATCCTATATAATAAAAGCCCAGTGACTGAATGGCAGAACGACTGGTTGACCAGTTGCTGTGACATGCACTGAGGGCCAGGAGCTGCCCCCTGGTGGTCAGGGTACTACCACAGTGGGCATGCTGCTTGGCTGACCGGGATGAGCTGCTGCTCCTGTTGCAAACCCTGGCTGATGTGCAAGAAACTGGGCTTTGACCATTGCCTCCTCTCCCCAGGCTCCTCTTCCTCACTCCCTGCTGCTTCCTTTGGATGCCCACAACCCAAAGAGCTGACCCTGGAGGCTGGGAGGTGGGTTCATGGCCACCGCAGTACTGAGGCCTACTCTGCCACCTCCTAGTGCTGTTGTCCCTGGGCTTGGCCCTGACTGGGTCACCTGGAGAGGTGACCAGGTCCATGGAAGATGCCAGATCAGGGAGCAGCTGCTCAGAGGGCAGGTCCACAGCTGCTGGGCTGACAAGGATGAGCAGCCACAGCGGGCTGATCCCCACAGGCTACTTCCCCATGAGTGCCTGAATCCCATGCACTGGGCCTCTTTTATAGACATAAAAGCCTAATATGCAAAGTGTTCCCTCAGAAGTTCATCCAGGAGACCAGAAGTTTAATTATTCACTATGATATGTGTTGGCTGCCAGTGGCGGCTCAGAACGAAGGAATGTCCTGGCCAGCAGCTGCTAGGGACCCAGCTTGTGCATGAATTTTGTGCACTGGGACTCTAGTCTTTCTATAATGATAGACAGTTTTGGGAAAGGAGGATGGACTACATTCCATGTTATTATAGTTCCCATGTCCCAGGGCATACAACTCCAGGCAGGTTAGAATGCACTTTCTCTAATCAGAACAGAATAATCAGTTAACAGAGCATGACTAATATTTCTTATAGTTAGTCCCCAATATTCTATTTCTGCCCCTAAGACATACATGATCAATATTTAAAAACCATATTTTTATACACTAGCAATGAACAATCCAAAAATAAAATTAAAACAATTTCATTTATAATTAATATAAAAAAGAAAAAAATCTAAGGAGTAAATTTAACAAAAGTGAATGATAGTGAAAACTACAAAAATCATTGAAAGACAAATAAATGGAAAACGGAGCTTGATGGAAGATTTCAGGCCATGCCCCTCATCCTGGCACTGCCCTGGAATACCTGAAGGTGTGCCAGGGGACTTGAAGCTGTGGGACCCCCCCACCCCCCACCCAGAGAGGCTTAGGCTGTGCCTGCTCCTGGTAGGGCTGGCCAGGTCTGGATCTCACCCAATGGGGGTGGGGTCAGCTGGTTCTGGGTCTCACATGATTTCAAGGTGCACTCAGGTGGGCGTGGACTTGACGTGGGGTCCTGCAACATGCCCCAGACTGACAGGGGGAATATTTTCATATACATTTATTAATTTTCTTTCATCTCTGATACTTCTATTATAGAGAAAGGGCAAATAGCAATATTAAAATATTTCCTCTAATTCCCTTTTAGTGTGCATGAATTTCGTGTACTGGGCCACTAGTTTAGTCATAAAAGATAAAATCATGAATAAACCTTGAAAATAGGTTAGATGTAAAAAAAAAAAAAAAAAAAAAAGACACATGCGATCATAGTGTAGGATACCATTTATATGAAATGTCCAGAATAGACAAGTCCATAAAGACAGTAGTAGTGGTTGCCAGGAGCTGTGGGGAGGCAGGAATGGGAAGTGACTGTTGATGGTTATAGATTTCTTTCGGGTGTGATGAAAATGTTCTGGAATTAATGGTGATGGATGCACAACCTTATGACTATACTAAAAAGCACTAAATTGTATATTGTAAAAGGATGATATGTGAATTTTTAAGAGGGGAGGACATATATATAAATACTTAAGATGTAATAGGAAGATAAAGAACCCAATTAAAAATAAACAACAAAAAATGGGCAAAGGGTATTAAATGATCTTTGACAGTCCTAAACCTTAACAGTTAACATTTGTGAGCTAATTATGTGCCACGTACAAATCACTTTACATGTAAATGTATTTAATTCTTACAGTCAACTTTGAGATAGGCACTATTGTTACCCCCACTTTCCAGGTTAAGAAATAGTGACAGTAATTCAATATGCTAGTTAATGAATATTGGAGTCGGAATCAAACTTGCAACTCTTTGGTGCATAAGCTGATGCTTTAACCACTGAGCACACCAGGCAGGGCTCTTATTTTATTTTAATCCTCACTGGAGGCCATGCTTAGAGAGAGAACTCACATTTTTATTCACACTTTATACTGTTTTAAACCCACACCATCCTTTTATAAGTCTTTGTGTGGACATGTTATTTCCCAGGGCTGACTCCAATCACCTGCAATATAACTATTGTTTTTCCCCTTTCCAGGTCCATTGATGAGATGAAACGGTTAGAGGAAATGTCAGCTGTGTTTCAGAGCCCTGGGGTTGAGCGCCACCCTCCAGAACCAAAATCCCAAACAGAAGGAAATGAAGATTCAGGGGGCAAAAAGGCGGCACCATGGGAAATGGTGATGGATAAGAAACACTTTAAGCTGTGGCGTCGCCCTATTGCAGGCAGCCACCATTACCAGTACAGAGGTGAGCCCAGCGTGGCTGCTTGGTGGGTTTCACGGTTACCGCAGGTGCTCAGGACTTGTGTTCCTCAGACTCTAAATTGTCTTTCTGGTTGTTTCTGAGGGAATTTGCCATGGTTTACTGTTTGTTGTTTTTCCTCTCTTAGATGACAAGAGTCTCACAATGTCTTCTTTGCAGAACTATGCAGTAGGATGTCTTTTCCACCCCAATATGACTTTTAGTTTCTGAATTCCCCTTTAAGATCTGTCAGTACTATAATTGAAATACAGTAAAATGTTAGGAATATGGTGAGTGATGAGAGTGTGGTAAACATCCCTGATTCTTATCATTCTAGTTTTTGGAACCTACACAGATGTTACACCCCGGCAGTTCTTCAATGTTCAGGTGAGTAATTTTTCTTCCCTAATTTGGAGCCGTTAAGCCTGGAAATTCACTTAGCCACCATCCACATGAATAATTTCTCTGACTCAGAAATTATATTGTGGCTTCAATACGTTCATCCACCTATGTACCCTCATCTCACATTGAATAGCATCGGGGAAAACATTTGCTACAATTTCTTTGTCTAGTGGGGACAGGACCACTTCTATCCCCTCAATAACTAGTTGATGATTATAGCACCCACTATGATATGCAAGTGCACACATTTCTCTGAAGGACTGAACTTCATGAATTTACATTGAATTTTTATTGGTTTAGATATGTATGATAGTGTCTCATTTTATAATTCTTTAGTTACTAGTGATGTTGGAAATTTTAAAAAATATGCTACTTGCATTTCTTTGATGAGGTGTCTGCTCATCATTTTGTACTTTTTGTCTGTTTAAAACTGTTAGAATTGTTTTACCCTTACACATTTGTATCATTATCTATTGTATTTTTCTCAGGCGTATGTGCCTGTTAGAGTATTTTTTTTTTTCATTACATTGTTCTTTGGTTTATCTTTTTCTTATTAAGATTCACTTTCAAGGTACTGGTATTGGCCTACAAGAAGAGATTTTAAGACTTACATGTAGTAAACACAGCCATGTCTTTTAGGTTGGATCACAATTTCACGAGGAAGACCTTAGGTCAGAGACCCAGGTATCTGGGGAAGGCTTCTGCAGCTTTTGTTTTAAATCTCCTGGGTCTTTTCTCTTTCCAGCTGGACACAGAGTACAGGAAAAAGTGGGATGCCCTGGTGATCAAGCTGGAGGTGATTGAGAGGGACGTCATTAGTGGCTCTGAGGTTCTTCACTGGGTAACACATTTCCCTGTGAGTATTTTCACTTCCGGTTTTACTTTTACCACATACATGTGAGGCAGAACAATAATCCTGCTCCTACTTTTATTTTTTAGTATCCAATGTACTCCCGGGATTATGTTTATGTTCGGCGGTACAGCGTGGATCAGGACAACAATGTGATGGTGTTGGTGTCACGGTATGTATGGTTACCTGGGATTCCTGATGAGTTCTGTTAGCTGTGTCCTTTACTCATGTATGTCTATAGTGGGTTTGCATGTTCTCAGTTCCCTTATGTAAGTGAAGCCCAGGCCCCACCCATCCCAACTAGAACATGAGTTTAAAGGGATATATATACTTTTCATTAAATCATTTCTCTAGTTTCTTAATATAATGATTTAAAAAAGAAGTGCTTTGTCTTCAACACAAGGCCTAGTGAACTGGGATTTACCAAGTAAACTCACTTTGTCTTAGAAGTTAGTTTGTATTCATTTGTCTTGGTGACTCGTCTTTTATTTATTTTTTGGTTAATCCTCACCTGAGGATATTTTTTCCATTGATTTTTAGAGAGAGTGGAGGAGAGGCAGGGAGGAGTTACATTTTATTTATTTCTTTAATCCTCACCAGAGGACATGCTTAGAGGGGGGGCAGTGTGGGGGGAACATTGATATATGAGAAGAACATCAATTGGTTGCTTTCTGTACACTCCCCAACTGATTGAATCCCCAACCCAGGTATGTGCCCTGACTGGGAATCAAACTTGCAACCTTTCAGTGTATGTGATGACACTTAAACAACTGAGCCACTGTGGCTGGGCTTCTCTGTTGTATTTTAAATATTAGTGTCAGCTTTTTAGATTTTTCTCATAACTTTATCTCCTGTGCTATTTTGTATGTAGACATTGTTACTCAGTTTCCTTAATTTTTCTCCTTATCAGCGCTGTGGAGCACCCTAGTGTGCCAGAGTCTCCAGAATTTGTAAGGGTCAAATCATATGAATCCCAAATGGTTATCCGTCCCCACAAGTCATTTGATGAGGTGAGTTTATATCATTCAAGAGGTGATGTGTGGTGACTTTGGAATTTTCTCAAGAAATGCCTTTTATCTGAAATGGAGAGGGCCTGGGTGCATTGGTTCTCGGAATCCACTGGAGCCTGAGAAGTTGCATTTTTATTCTCAGATGAGGCTGATGCTACTGGACTGGGGACCACACTTTGGGGGCCTCTGCTGTGGGCTGATAGACCTGGAGGACAGTACCAATTATCTGAGAGACGAGAAGATGATAGCCCCTAACTCAGCCTGTGGTTAGCAGCATTCTTTTTTTTTTTTTTTTTTTTTTTTTTAATATATTTTATTGATTTTATACAGAGAGGAAGGGAGAGAGATAGAGAGTTAGAAACATCGATGAGAGAGAGTCATCGATCAGCTGCCTCTTGCACACCCCCCACTGGGGATATGCCTGCAACCAAGGTACATGCCCTTGACCGGAATCGAACCCGGGACCCTTCAGTCCCCAAGCCGTCGCTCTATCCATTGAGCCAAACCGGTCCCGGCTGCATTCTTTAAGAATCGTTAAAATTTCACAATTGGCAGATCATCTATAACCTTTCTCGACTTCCTTTTCTTTGTCTATAAAATGAGAGTGTTAGACCAGCGATACTTAACCTTTTCATCTCATGGCACATTTAAACTAATTACTTAAATTCTGTGGCACACCAAAAAAATATAATTTTTGCTGAACTGACAAAAAAATAGGAATAATGGATCATTCACACCAAACGGTTATTGTGTGGCCTGTTGACATTTTTTAATTTAACAGTCCAAAGGAAGAGGTCAGTGCCCCTGTTGGGTGTTGCATGTTTTAAAAATTCTTGTGGCACATTGGTTGAAAATCACTGGGTTAGACTGATGCTGTCTGCCTTCCTTAAAATTCTCTAGCCATTTTTTGAAAATATTTTCTTTAAATTAGTGGGTATTTTGTTTGTTTTTAGCAACATTTTTGTTGATTGTACATGTTGATTCTAATGTTTGCTGTTTGTAGTTCTATTTCACTTTATATTTTTGTTCTGCCTTTAAAGCTATATGAACTGTATTCTTTAGTATGGTTTTATTGTTTTCATCAAGTTGACACCCATACACTTACCAGTGTACAGGATGACAATCCAACCAGCTGAGCCACACGAGCCAGGGCTCAAGTTGTTTTATTTATACCACTTTCAAAACCACACAGAAATTGTCATTCACCTCAGGTAATATGGTGTTTGCCTCTCTTTTTACTGGGAGAGCTATGTGTTTAATTCAGAACTATTTATAGAGAAGAATTTTTTGTTTTGTTTTGTTAATATTCATTCAAGGATATTTTTCCATTGATTTTTAGAGAGAGTGGAAAGGGGGGGTAAGACAGAGGGAGAAACATCAATGTGAGAGAGACACATCGACTGGTTGCCTCCTGCATAAGCCCCGCCTGGAGCCAGGGATCAAACCTATGACCCTCTGGTAGCACAAGCTGACAATCGAGCCAAAGAGCCGGCCAGGACAGGATTGTATAGTTGTTATTTATATCTACCCTTTTTGCCTGTGTTGAAACTAAATTCTCACCACCATCCCAAGGTAACACTCATTCACTTTAACCTAAAACACACAAACCAGCCTCAGACTAGTAATACCAACAAGATTAATATGATGACCGAAAAATGTGTGTCTCCTAAGTTTTATAACTGGCCTCTGTGGTGAGTACTGTTCCCATTCCGGTTGCCTGGGCCTTACCTCTCCTTCCTGTTTACTTCCATAGTATTCATCTATGGCTCTGTTATGGCAAACATTTAGCTACCCAGTTAGCCTACCAATTGGAAGTTCCCAAGGACAAGGATTAGCATGTTTTTCTTTTCTCTATAGCGCCCAGCACAATGCCAGGCATATAACTGACATTCAGATGATACTGAGTACATGAATAAAAGAATTAACCATTCACTCAGGGAAAAGAGTATGGACTTTGGTATAAAGGCACAAGAGAAAGTTTAGGTCTGCCACCTGGAGTTGTGGTCATCTGCCCTACAAAGTGCAGGCACAGAGTAGTTCCCTCTTACCCCTTTGGGTGGAGCATAATTGATTTGGTGCCCTCTCCTAAGATCAGGACAATTACAAGTCTCTTAATCCACATCCTTCATACTGGCAGGCAGTGAGAGGGCAGACCCGGAAAACGTGGATACGTGAGCCCCATGGTCAGAGTCATGGGGGTGACTTTGGGCCAAGTTTCTTAACTTCTCTGAGCTGAGATTCCTCATTTGTAAAGCTAGGGCTAATAGGTCCTACATTCTGGGATTGTTGGGAAGAATTTAAGCAGTCCCTGACACATAGTTAAGCACCATGTAAATATTTGCTGTCAGGAGTAGAGTTAATACCATTCTGGCAAAGATTAAGATCTTTAACCATTGGGGGTTTGTGTTGGGGTATCAAGATCACCCTCACATTAGAAAATTCACTAGAAGGACTCAGGGACTCGGCATGTAGTTGTCCTCACAGCTAAGGTTCATCACAGCAGTGTCTCAGAATGCACATGTGGACCACAGGGAAAAGGCAGAGTCCACCTGAGAAGACTAAAGGCGTGTGTGCGCTTCCCATGCCCTCTAACTGTGAGTCACAGAGCCCGTTCTTCTGCCAGCAGCAAAGTGCAGCAACATGGATGTAATGTTTCTGCCCAGGGAAGCCCATTAGAGACTTGGCACCTGAGATATATATTTTTAATATATTTCATCAATTTTCCACAGAGAGGAAGGGAGAGGGACAGAGAGTTAGAAACATCGATGAGCTGCCTCCTGCACAACCTCACTGGGGATGTACCCGCAACCAAGGTACATGCCCTTGATCGGAATCGAACCTGGGACCCTTCAGTTTGCAGGCTGACGCTCTATTCACTAAGCCAAACTTGTCAGGGCAGCACCTAATATGTAATAGATTTTTTAATTTTAATTTTAATTTTAATTTTAATTTTTATTTTTTTTGCAAAGAGGAAGGGCCAGGGGATAGAGAGCTAGAAACATCGATGAGAGAGAAACATCAACCAGCTGCCTGCACACACCCCAACAGGGATTTGCCTGCAACCAAGGTACTTCCATGGATGCCAACTTCACAGTCTTCAGTGTTAATAACTCCTCTGCTTAGTGTAAAACAAATGGCACTCTTACCCACACTCAGGTCGTGGTTATCCTGAGGGCCGGGATAATGGAGGCTGTAGTACAGTGGTTCTCAATCTTTCTAATGTCTCGACTCTTTGATACAGTTCCCAACCATAAAATTATTTTTGTTGCTATTTAAGTTTGCTACTGTTAATGAATCGTAATGTAAATATCTGTGTTTTCTGATGGTATGAGGCTCTATAGCAGCAGTTCTCAACCTGTGGGTCGCAACCTCTAGCAGGTCACCTAAGACCATCGGAAAACACAGATATTTACATTACGATTCATAACAGTAGCAAAATTACAGTTATGAAGTAACAACAAACGTTTTTATGGTTGGGGGGTCACCACAATATGAGGAACTGTATTAAAGGATCGTGACATTAGAAAGGTTGAGAACCACTGCTGCAGTGGGTAATTCAGGTACCGTCATCTTTGCTGTTTTTCTTTTCCAGAACGGCTTTGACTACTTGTTGACATACAGTGACAATCCCCAGACTGTGTTTCCTCGCTACTGTGTTAGTTGGATGGTTTCCAGTGGTGAGTGAGCACTTGTGTGCATGGTTTGGAACTTGTGTTGAGCATTTTGTTTTTTTCTAGCTTCTTATTGACAGCAGCAAGCTTAGTACGTGTGTCACTGGAGTCCTATTGCGGAAATTAAATGTCCTTCCAAGCTTGTGCTTGAATATTGTAAAGCTGTAGAATCCTCCAGCTGGGTTTGGAGGGATGAGAAATATGAAGCCCCAGAAAGGATCTGTGCTCAAAGGGGAGTTTTAAGAAGAGCACTTGCTTAAATCCTTAAATATGGACTGTGGGCATTAATGCACTTAAATTTTTTCTTCTTGGATAATTTTGGGGACATAAACTGGCAAAGAAAATGTGGTGGTTGTAGGACAGGCACCTGGAGAAAGGGGCAGCAGCTGTCCTAACAGAGGCTACACATCATGGCAGTGCCTACACCTTTCCCTTTCAATGTCCTGCCTTATAAAGCACCCTGATGTGATTTTCTTCTGGAATCTTCTTGTACCTCAGGGAAAGAATCCAGAGGATATTTGTCGAAATAAAATAGGCAGATATATGAGCCACTGAAAAATGATTTATCACCTAAAAGAGCTACTTAGGATTTAAGTGGTCTGATTCACATGCCTTTTCAAAGGTTTTCAGAGGTTATGAGTTGTTTTCACTCTCTGTACATTAAGGAAGGATAGGCTTCTCCATGAAGGAATTTTGAACCCACTGCTGGTTTGTCAGCCTGTTCACATTCCCATCTCTCCCAATAGGTATGCCAGATTTCCTGGAGAAGCTGCACACGGCCACTCTGAAAGCCAAGAACATGGAGATCAAAGTAAAGGACTATATCTCATCTAAGCCTGTGGAAATGGGGAGTGAAGCCAAGGCCACCACCCCGTCTTCTGAGCGGAAGAACGAGAGTAGTTGTGGCCCTGCCCGGATCGAGTATGCTTGAAGGGCCTTGGGATAAGAAGGGGCAGGCTGCTGCTAGCTCTGTCTTGTTCCCTCACTCTGATTCAGAACCGGGGACATGTACTGGAAGGCGTCTGCAATAATCACCAGTGCAAGATAATTGAGTAACTGGTGTCTGATTTCATTCAGAACCGCCTTTTCTCTCTATCAAAACAGAGAAGAAGGAGGCATCCATGGAGGCATTGTCATATTCTCAGGCCAAGCATTTTGCAATTCAGTATTCCGTTGAGCTAACCTGGAACAAACCGCACCTCAGGCCAGAAGAGGATAACTTGTTTTGCTTCCTCTGAATAGTTTTCTCTGCCAACATTCCAGTTTCCACCATCAGTCCTGCAGCACTTGGACTTCCTTTAGTCTGAAGGTCCAACTGGAAAGTGAAGGTGGCCAGTTGATGGTCCTCTGAGGGGTCGTTGGGAGTCCCTTGGTACTGGGTAGTCCTATTGTTGAACGGATGTGAACTGTTGCTTGGCAGTGTAAGTGCCTTGTCCTCACCTTGCTTCTATCTTTAGGAACATCAAGTTTGTACCAGAAAATTTCGTTGCCTCCCAAATACCACCCACTGACTACCAAAGCCTTTTCTTTTGGACTGGCTATATTCAAACACTATGTTCATTTGGCTTGGCTCCTCCTTTCTTGGCCCATTTACCAAGAACACTGGGAAATGAATCCTTTCAGACAGTAGCTTCCTGTATTATTACTGTTTTGATAGGATCAGTGGAGATGCTCAAAGCATCCCACATTAATATATATATATTTTTTGATGTTAAAAGTTTATTAGTTCAGTGATTCACTTAATTGAATTTGAAGTATATATATATTTTTTAATCTTTGTGTCAAAAGGTAGGGATTAGGGAGTTGAATAGAATTTCTCTAGTCCATTGTCTAGAAAACATTTTGATTTAGGCATTGTTTTTCACACTTCACCTTTGGACGCTGAGGTCTTGTCCACCTCAGAAGGCTAAAGGCAGAGGAGTGGGGTTGAGCCACTCCCTGGAGCGCTCAGCTGTAGACAAGCTGTGTGAACCATTAGATGAAATCTTCCCCAAACACTAGCGTAATGGGTTTATGTGACTCTCTTGCTCCTCTGAAAGCTTTTCCTCTTTTCTTCAGAGCTGAAATAAAAGCAGATGATGCTGCTTAGATGAAGTCACAGTCAGATGGGTGCATCATTTGGCCTTGCTGATTCTGCTTATGGTCACGCTGCCATCTGCTGGAAGAATAGGGATCAAGTTTTAAATTCTCCCCTCCCCCCTTTAAAAAATAATCGAAATTATCAGGCCCCCCCCCCCCTTTTTTTTTTTTTACTTAGTTCTAAAACTGAGACTAATTTAAGCCCCTCAGCCTTTTTGTTGCCTGTTAAGTGTTGTGCCAAGGAAATAACTGCCCGATGTTTCCTGTCTTGCCTTCTTTGAGTTTGGCAGAGCAGAGGTGCACCAGGCAACCCCAGCTTTTATTGATCAGTTCTCTCTTCTCCTCCCCGGACCTGACAGGCCAGGAAGAGGCCCTGGGTTATGCCTGCACTTAGCGCCTGTGATTGCCAGGCGTGGGTGGGTGAGGGCAGTAGTTTGAGTGTAGAGCTTTATGGAGCTGGGTGTTGCTCATGTTCTGATTTTGGGGAATTTGATTGAATTGACGTAGGTCTGTGTAGTTACTTATGTCATCATAATGATTTCACTTCTGATTTTTTTTTCAAATGTGTGAATAAATACATAAAGATTGGTATAAAAGAGTGTTTGTTTTTGGACAGATGGTGGTTGGGAAATCTTGCATATTGGGCTTATCATTTCTTCCTGACTATAAAGTTTGAGAAGAATAGTGTTTCTCCTCATAGAATTGGCATGTGGAAGTAGTCTCGATCTTTCCTGGTGGTGGCTGGCTCAGCTAATCACTTTGTCTAGACAATGAGCCCTTTCCAGGTGACCGGTTGGCAGCTGAAAACAAGCCAGTATTTCCACTTTGTGCTGATCTATTAACACATGTTGTTTGTTTTTAAAGAGGGGTCAACTTGCAAGAAACAGTGATAGAGCTTTGCTGATAAAACTTGAGGGAATGAGGAGAGCAAACCCAGGTCTAGATTGTGGAGCGGTGAATTCAGGGCCCTGTTGGAGAGGGAGGGCGGTGAGCTCAAAACCCACGTGGCCTGTGGAAAGGAGTGTCACACAGGCAATTATGCTAGAATGCAGATTTGTTCCAAGGCAATTGATGGAGACACTGGGAACATAATGTGAAACTTCAAGTGATGTGTTGATTTTGCTCATGGGAAACACTAGCTCAACACAAATACACACCCGGACTCTTAACTCTTTTCTCCCAGTGTAAGATGACTGGAGAGACAAGTTGTCAGGAAGTGTATGCTTACAGGTGCACATGTGTCTGTAATATTAAAAGGGCTATTCCGGTCTCCCCACTGCAGAGGCCTCTACACATGTCCCTGCTGTGGTTCTCCAGGTTGAGTTGAATGCTGAGCTCTGGCTGAGAGCAACATGTCCCGGGTCGGATAGCTCTGGCTCCCGGGAATTTTTTTATGTCCTTGGATTGGCAGGAAAAGTGCTGCCATTCTTGGAGGCAGTGTTCATGGGATTCAGTTTTTCTCAAGCTTCATGTCTCCAGCAGCTTCAAAAACCGTCCAAGTTGAAAGAGTAATAATACAGAGTGTTACAGAAGTACATTTATAGTTTGAATGGAAAAAGACAGGCAGATTATGATTATTACAATAGCTTTATTAATTTTTGTGTCCTCACAACTATAAACCTACTTTTGCTCTACCCTGTAATAAACCTTGTAGACCCCTCCTCCCTTATGCAGGTAGTTAACAGCTTGCTGTGGTGTGTGTGTTTCCTCTCTACATACACTGCTGTGGCCTGAACTGTCTTTGTAAAATTCATGTGTCGGAGCCCATGTGATGGCATCTTGGTGGAGCCTTTGGGAAGTGATTAGTATTAGATGAGGTCAGAGTGTGCGGCCCCCATGATAAGATTAGTGCCCGCCCTTGTTCTACCTTCTCGCCATGTGAGGACAGGAGGTGGCATTGGCAAGCTTTGCCAGAGAGAGCTCTCTCCAGGAACAGAATTGACAAGCACATCGATCCTGGACTTCTAGCCACTAGACCAGTGAGAAATTCTGTTGTTCATAGGATTTTGTTATGGCAGCCAAAGTAGATTGATACACTTTTCATCACCATTTGAAAATAAGTTGGAAACATCACCAGATTTCATCCCTAAACATGTGAGTGTGCTCTTTTATTACACTACCATTCACATACATTATCTAATAATATAGTCCATATTCAAAGTTCCCCACTTGTGCCCCCAAAGGACTTTCCTAGCACCTCTCCCCCAAATCCAGGCTCCAATTACATGTCCCGTGTTGCATTTGTGTCTTCAGTCAATAGCAGCCAAGTAGATAAGGTAGCTGCAGCCTCTTCAGGTGGAATCAGCTTCACAGGTGCTTCTGAGTGCAGGCGTTCAGCTCAGTTGTGCCTGGGCCCCCCCTGCAAAGACAAATCACAGAATTGCTGGGGTCCACAGTGGAATGTCTATGCAACCTCCCTTGATCTGGTTCTACCAATCTAAGCTCAGCTGTCGCTAATTTGTCACGCTGTTGGCTTACGTGTTATTACTGAGCACTTGCTATGCTGGACACGGCTTCAACATCCCTGTGAGTATGTAGCTGTCCTGTTTTATAGGGAGGAAACGGTACCAGAGAAATAATTCTGCTGCTCAAGGTCACAAGAAGTGGCAGAGCCTTAACAGGCCTGGCTTTCCGAAGACACTTCGAGCATTATGGCTCGGTTAGTTTCTCATAAATGCTGCCAGCAAATTCCTTCCCAGAGGTATTGACTTATTTCAGAACCTGTATTAAAGGCTTTCTTTTTGTCTATCTTTGTTAAATTTTATGTACTTTAAATCCCTACTTCTTTGGGGGATCAAAGCATAAATATCTCCTTTCTGAAACTTTCAGGATGTACAACACTTAATATAAAGGGCAGTATTCTTGGAAGGGCAGTATTCTTGGGGACATCTTGAGGTTTCATTTATAAAAACGTTTGTTACAAGATGACCTGTCTACCCAGTGTGATAGGAGTCTGAAAATAATCTTCATAAAATTTAACAACTATAATTTCCAATGAGTAAACTTGAAAGGGTCTAAAAAAAAAACCACCAATAATAGCATGTGGAAGGAAGTGATCTTAATATGCTTGTAAAATATGCTTGTTTCTACTAACTTCGGTGATTACTTGGTAGAGCATCGTTCTAAAAGAATCCTCAGGCCACATACTGTCGCAGTTGCTCTTAGAGCCTCATGGTTGATTTTGCTCCACAAACACACTTAAATTTTTTTTTCAAACTCACAAAATGACCTAACTTTATCATCTACTTTTAGAGAGCCTAACCACGCCCAAAAAGGTAGGGTGAATGAAAGTCGTAATATTTACATGTTTTTATGGTTAGTGCACTTTTTCATATCTTAAAAACTGCTGTGTGTGTATATAAGTTAGGATTATGTCTTCCCAGACCCATGTACTGCTGTCTTGAACCCCCTTCCATCACATGGCATTGTGTTATATTTCTTGATAAACCATAATTTGTTAATGCTTTTCCTAAAATGTGGAATCCAAGACTGGACCCAACTGCTCCCTGATGGATAGCCACCCTGAGGACAGGCTGTGTGTGCTCATTGCCTGCTTGCTGAGTCCTCGGTGCCTCCTGTGGAAAGAAAATGTCCCTCCCCTTGAGGACAGTTCCCAGAATGCCACACCATTCCTGCTTACATCCCAGTGGCCAGAACTTAGTCAAAAGGTCTCCCCAACTGCTGAGTAATCTACAAGTATACTTCAGACAACCAGAATGAAAACGGGGATAACGGACAGGCTTTGACAAATTACAGCCAAAACATTTATCTACAACTTTAAAGGCGTCACTTCGAAGGCTGGATTCAGTTAGAAAAGTCGCCGGAAAGGGCCAAGCCCCCAGTGGGTCTGCC